ATTCCGTCACCTATGTAGATTTGCCGAGCATGTTGAACAAAAGGACGAGTGTTGCATGGAGCTGAGTTCGTTCGACTGTTCCGTGGGGAAGAGTAGAAACTAAGGAGCGGGGGATGATGTTTTCATTATCAAGGAAGGCCTGGATGACATCCCGCTGTGTCAGGACACACAGCTGGCCTGAGCTTGGGGTCGCCTATTCCCGCCCGACCGGGGACCGTCTACCTGTGGCGCATGGTGTGGGAGACGGAGGCAGGGTGCTATGAGTTATTGGATGGCCGAGAGCGCGGCCGCTTTAGGATGAAAGCCCAAGAGCAGGCCTACCAGGTACGGAAAATGTTCGCACGCGGTTGACCAAAAAGGATGCGCACCAGCCATTTCAACTAGGCGTAATGTTGATACGCCATGTGGTTTGATTCCAGTCCTCGCAAGGTGCTCTTTAAGAACGGGGCATCCCTGGCCGGCTGCTTATTTGCCGTGCAACAAGACCTAGGCTGAGCTTCGTGATAGGTTTGGCGAAGACCTACTCCAAAAAGACGCACCAAGATAGGCATGAGAAATGGGCCAGCTGGCCCAAGGTTGGCCCAAGGCTATGCATGGGTCTTGGGATAAAGCAAGCATGTTCTGTCATACCGAGGATCAGACACGAGGATGCGGGTGGTCGTGCTCCAGGGAGGGGGCTGGCGAGCCAGGTCAACTGGGTGGGCCAGGTCGACCAGGAGCGACGTTAGGGACAGTAGAGAACCGAGGGCCCTGTAACTGTGTGGCACGGCGGTTTCCTAAATTGGCGTCTGCCAGCATTCAACAAAGGATGTCTCACATCAGACTGTGATGCTGTTTGGCACGAGAAGACGTAGATGCCCGTTCCCACAGTTCACACGGCGAGAAGCGACCACAGAGGCCCTGTCCAGCCAAGTCCTGCATGGGTAGTCCCAAGAGGTTGGTGCGTCTCCTTGAGGTCGCCAGCTTCGGTGCATTGCTTTACTCTGATTCTCAGGCTACGGGACAGCTGGGCCAGGGGGCAGACGCAGAGGTCTGCCAAAAACTCAAGGTCTCGAGGTAGCCAGCCAACAAAAACAGTTTCGGGACGCACCAAAGGAACTTGATACCCAAGCCCAGGTCCAGGTCAGGTCCGAGACCAGCAACACGAGCTGAGCATGCAAGTCTCGGTGCAAGATCCAACGGTTGCTGGTCTAGGGCGTGCGGGCCAAGCATGCTTCGGGGCGCTGGGGATCGACATCGCGGGATCTGATGCGTGATCTACCGGTACCTAGGTAGGTGAGGTAGTGGTTGCCGTTGTGTGGGGGATCAAACGTAGCGCGGTGCGTTTACTATTCATTACTTTGTTACCTTGCTGTACGTGCGAGTTGACGGGCGCCTTTACTGTCTGTGGTGACTGACATCACGTGACAGTATATCACCCCTCACCCCTCGTTCCGCACCAACCTCTGTCGTGTCGTTCACCCATACAGATATCGCCCAGACGATCAGTTCAAATACGGCGGATGGTGAACCGCACTAACAGTCTTTCGAACCAGTGCCCGTACAACACCTCCATCACTTCAGATTGTTCATCCATTTCCTAGAGACCAACAGCCCGAGCACCTTGGCCTGAAGGCTCGGTCCGTCAGGTCCATCCCAAAACCCCACTCTTTCGACATGAACATGCATGGCAGAAATGTCGAAATCTCGTCATCCCGCCTAGCTTGGCCAAGCCTCCATCATCCAGCTCCGGTTTCCGAGTGATGGTACGTTTACAGGCTCTTGTGTGTGGTTGATGTACACGGCCAACAGAACCCCCCCCGGTGTGTTGGCCTTCCATGGGAAAGACGGGCAAACATGCAAGACGCTGACCCAGAAGGGCTGCCGAAGCTCTTCAGCATGACGTCGAGATCCTTCGCCTCTCACACCCCCTTCGTCACTCACCACCGAGCTTATCACGCAAGTTCCGGCACACAAGACGCCACAGTCGATCGATGAGAGAGACATGGCCAGTCACTTATGCGCCCTGAACTGCCGAGGCTGCCGCCTCACTCATCAAAACCGCCGTCCTTGTCCATTTCATCCATGACCAAGCCTCTGCCGTGCCTGACATTGGCTGGCCAAGATCACGGACGGTGGCCATAGCTGCACACTTTCTTTTGATGCTACAGCTCTAAGAAACGGGCACACGCTCTGCCAGTTTCCTATGTTGTCGAGCCTGCTGAGCACATGTCATGCAAAGAGGCCTGACAGATGCCAGACATGCCGTCCGAAGTCCAGCTCGCGTAGCGGTGATGTGCGCGCAACAAGAGATAAACAGAGACGGCGAAACGAGCCTTCCACGAGTAGCCCCTCCCGCGGTGGAACGTCTGTACGCCATCGGAAACTTATTCTCGAAGCCCTAGTGGTACGAGCCTCCACCTCGTCCACCCAAACGAAACAGGAACCCCTACCCTGATTACCCACAGAACTGGAATAACGGGAGCACTGCATTCCTTTCTGGTGTCGTTGTGCTGAGAAAACTCACAAGCCATCCCGGGATCGTGATGGGTGAACACTCCTCAAACGCCGTCCCAAATTCAAGTGAACAGTGCACCTTCACCTGCCTTAAGCAGGCTCAGCTGGGCTGTTATCTGGAGTTGACGAGCCGGAAATGTCATGCGATGACTGTTCTGACCAGACCCTAGCCTCTGAAGCCGTATAACACGCCTGCATAGTCTAGAACCTGCAGTAGCAGTGTAGACACTCGTGCTGCACACCGAAAGCGGCGACTGACGCGCCAAGAGTTTTGACCAGAGAGCCTTCGCCACGCAAGAAGCTGTGATATCCAGCAATGCTCCTTATCGCTCAGATGATGGACACAAGCAATGCCACATCTCGGCCTCGCTACAAAGGCTGAAAGGCTCGCGGAGCAGGCCCTTTGTGGCGATGTTCCAAAGCGGAAGGCATGGGAGAGCTTGACAGTTCGACGTGTGGCTGGCCTGCCATGGCCACTGGCCAGCATGTGGCAGCGGTGATTCCAAACACCGGACATTGGACAGCTGTTTCGACCGAAGACGGCTGTTCGAACGAAGGCCACACTGGATTCCGAGTCTCTGTCAGAGCATTTTGAGACGCAGTATGACGAGTCCATTTTCGTCGCTCAGCTCCTCCAAGATTCAACCACATCGAGACCTTGTTGAACAGGCCAACCCGACCCAAAGTAGCCACCATGCAATACGCCCACGTACGAGTCCATGTCGCCCGCATCCCTCGTTGCTGGCCCAAGAGATTTACGTAGCTTTCTTCTTTCATGCAGCGTCTCGTATGACAGCATCAAATCAATTGCTCATCAGCCTCTTTCCGCCGAAACGTGCATTGTGGCACGGGCTGTGCATATTCGAGGCCGCAACCGAGCGACGTAGGAGCCCCAAGGCTGCCTGTTGCCCCCTTTCGTAGTATTCCGAGGGTGCAGGGCCTGAGGCGGACCTCCACAAACGGGCCAGCCGTTATCGCTGCGGTGCAGCAGTGTTACATCGCGCTGTGTGCATCTACTGCAGCTGTCCACTAATCACTGTACACGCAGCTCAGGCAAGTATTCAGAGTTTGCCATGGGCGAGTCTGGAGCACGCTTCAGAAAGTAGCGATGAGACGTTGTCTCCTCCACACAGTGTTGTGAAAAGCATGAGGCGCGTCGAACAGAAGTGGTCTTTGCACTTGCTGCCACATTCTTCACGGGCCACGGCCGGGCTACTTTGGCAAAGCAAGGCTCGACCGAGATTCGGAACCGAGGCCATGCTCCAGGCAAGGGGAGTCTATTCCCCCCAAACTCGTCCATTCGGGCACCTTGCCGTCTTTGCAGCCGCAACAGCAGGCCACCAATCCGATTCCGTTCTAAGACCACCACTTCTGGTATACTCCTAAGTGCGGTCTGGCTGACGGACGGATCGCCCTTTTCTCACTACAGGGAACGTCTGACATATCTACCACATCTAGTCAGGGGCAGGGGCTGCCGTCGACCTTGTTGCCGAGTCCGTCCACGTGTCATCGCGACAGCCGCTCACCCATAAGCGGCAGCGCACGCGGGCCGCTGATGGCTGGCTGATTGGAGTTGATCCAACGCACAGCACAAAAATCTCAGCTTTTATTTCGCCAATGCATGGGCCCAAAGTAGTAATCTTGAGCAGGGCGTTTTCGGCATGAGGCTTACAGGCTGGCGAACAGGAGAGACCTACGGTGAGCGGACGGGCGTGGTTGATGACCGAGTGGACTCATTGTCAGCTTCCTCCATGACGCGGAAATGATCCTCATCTGACGTTCCAAAATGGCACGACAAAGAGGCAAACATGGTCAGAGAACCACACCCTCCACCAGATCCTGTGCCTCTAAGCAGCACCACACAGTCAGGTCCAGCACGATGCGCATGCCGGTGTGTCGTGAACTCTTGGTCATGATGTCACGAACCTTTGCCCGAAGTACTGGAACCAAAGCCCAATGCTGTATTGTGTGGCCTTACGGCTCAGCGCAACTCGGATGAGGAACAGCGGTTGCACCAACACCTCCCTTGTTCTTCGCTCCATCAATAAGTCTCGTCGAATCACCTCATCGGCCGGCCATCTCAACCGTTGGGTTGCCCGCCCCAACCCACCCACGGGTAATCCACCAAGCTCAGATCCGGTTGCCCCGCCCTCGCCTAGTTCACCTCGACGCCAGAGGGCCGCACCCGGCCCAACGAACGACATTTTCCCCACACCCATACCAGAAGGGCAGAGAACAAGCCAAGGTGAAGCCGTACGCCCTAGTCCCTACTCGCCGTCCCTCATCAACTCCATAATACCCTTACCCAGGGGCGTCCAACCCTCGGGCGATTGCCTATGGGCTATCTGCGACGGCTGCTGCCAGCCTTCTGGCCGGCCCCCCTTCACACCCTCTCAACCGCCTCATGCTTACAACAGGAACCGGCATGGCGAAAAGGGGCAAGAAGGAGGGCGGGAGGGGGTCAAAGGCTAAGAGATAGGCCCAGCTCGGCTCACCCCCACCGCCAACTAGCAGCATAGAGCAACCACCTGAGTTCGTCGTCAAAGTTTTGCCTCCCCCCGCAGAGGGTGATGGGATGGCAAAAGGCCTTGAACAGCGAAAGGATGAATGTCAGGGCATGGCGATTCCTCGAGCCCAGCTGACGTCAGACCAAGCTGGTTCCCGGCGGTGTTCCTGCCCGGACAACCCCAACAGCTCGTCATCCGAACACAGGCACAGGCACAAAGGGCCCAAGTTCTAAAAAGAATGGAAAAACGTTAAAGTGAGAGGGGTGGAAGCTGACTGGTGAGGCGGAGCCACTGCATTTGCCCCGCCGTCAGCTGCTTCGAGCCAAATATGCTGTACGTCGGGTATACTGCTAGTGATGAGCTGGATGACGAGCAAGGGTCATGAAATCAACCTTGACTGATACTGTGTTTCCAATAATTGATAGTGTACATTCTCTCATCGTGCTGATTACTAGACATCAGCGAACGGCCAACCCGGCCCAAAAGCACCTGAACACCATCATGACCTGTATAGTAAATGCTATTTCTCCAATATAGTGAGAGTCGGGTGCCTACCCGATCCGCTGTCGTGTCCCCTTGGTCGTCAAAATAATCTTCAAGTCGTCCCGATGGAGCTCCTGGAATTACGCCTGCGAATGTGGAAGCCCACCCTTACCCCGCCCCTGCGCGCGTGTGTGAACAAAGAGATGGTTGGCGTAAGCAGTAGCGGTTTGCAGAGATCTGTCGTCGACTGATGTATCACCGAGCCTTGGTAGCCTGCAAGTCCATAAGGACAGTACTGCGTGTCTTCGCCTGTAACAGGGGCTTGCCTCCTAGTGGTCATGAGTCTGCCGGACGAGGACATCGAATCAGGCACGTTTCATTCCACCCTTTCGATGGCTTACGACCTTGAGAGTCGTACCCAAGTTGTGCCCGAGGTACCCGATCATAGCTCGACTGACTTCTGCGTCGTCGGTGAGCTCACCACATACGTCTCGGAACTGAGCGTATACCTCTTCCAGCTTGTGGAGCTCGCGAGCGAGTATCTCAAGCTCAAGCCAGCGACCGTCTTCGCCGCCCAATGTATAGGCACCAAGACTGATACCTAGACTCGCCCCTGTGCCGCTCAGACCATGCATACTGCCTTTTCCGGCAATTCGATCTTCAATGCCTCCATCGAAATAAGAATGTGTTGCCTTTTGGTAAAAGCTCGTGATCTTGCCGATGATAGTCGCAAGAAGCATAGCAGTTGTGTGTGTTCCTGAACGGCTTAGGCATGGTGCGCATGCGAGCAGAGCAGCACAGCTATCCACAGCTCGGCGGTTTAATGAGAGAACAACGTCGAATGGCGGCGGATCGGGTGAAGATGCGCTGTGCATGTCCTGGAGCGACTGAAGGCAGACTGTAAAACAAGTGCAGAAGTTTGCACCATCATGTTTGGAGCTGACCTTTCTTTGAGCGCTTGGTCCGTTTCGTGGCGTTGAGGAGGGGCTTGGGAAATAGCTTGAGCTCATACTTGCGGGCGTCAACGCCGGAGCGGTTGTACTAAAACATTGTGTGTTGCGCGATACTGAATCCACCCACGAATTAAGCTGGGAGGTTGTGTCGTCCATCGATACGGAGCGGCTTTGAGGTCCTGACAGGTTTGTGCCCGTATAGGAAAGATCGGTGTAGTTGATCGACGCAAAGTCGTTGGGAGGCGTCCACGGCAGATTGTTGCTGTATATACTCGTGACGTTGCCAGGGTCTCGAGTATCGAGGCCATTTGCCTCGCAAGGGTTTGATGGGCCCCTACCAAAAGGGTTCGAGAAAGTATCGGCAAAGTCCATTGTAACGTCCCAATCTGTGTCGATCTTGTAAAGAGGGTGGGTGACTGGAATATCACGCAGAAGAGAGGCAGCATTTTCGTCCGCAGTGGTTGAGATGCTGGTCGGAGGGGTCTGCAGATTTACGAGGCGGCTGTTAGAGCTATGGTCTGCCTTTGGCTTGCCTGCTCTGCTAGACGGAGAGTAGTTGCACTCCAGGCCGCACGACAAGCATCGTGAGCACATGGGGCGAGCCTTGGAGCACTTGACTTTGGCCAGGAAGCAGCCATCGCAAGAGGCTCGAAGGCGGGGTTGTCGGGTCTTTGAACTTGAAGACATGTTGAGTGATGACAAGAGAGAACGCGATGCTTCGGATACGCTCAGCATCAGGGGGGGGATGAGTCCCGCGAGAGGTCTCCAGGCCAGGAAATATATATCTTATGCACGTTGCTAGCCAAGGGGGGACAGCAGCAGCGAGATGGCACGGCCAGCTGCAGTGAGATGGCAAGGAGAGGCGGTCTATACGTGCGAGGAGACGGAAAAGGAACCCAGGGTTCTGGGGAACCCCGCAGGCCGCAGCGCGAGCAAGGCTGGAAGGCGACCAGAAGAGAGAGAGTTAGGAGGTACGTGTGTGCTCAGCAGCGAGCGATTGGGGCGTGTCGAGTTGTGAAAAATAGGATCAGCACGTATGTACCGAAATGAAGTAAAGCGGCTTGAAAGCACCAAGCTGACTGAATCAGTCTCCGATGGGGATGCGAGAAGGAAAACAAGAATCACTACCACATCGACTGGTGTTGCTCCTCCACGCTGGCGCACGGCGAAGAGGGGGGAGCTCTGCGAGAAGCCCACCATTTCCTTCGGCCGCATGGATCTGCTGGGCATCAAGCTGAAGCGTTCAGCCCCTCCCTTGTCAAGGCCTGAGTTGCGAGATCATGATACATCGTGCCAAGTTGTCGCTTGTCTGCAGAACAATTTTGCCGCTGCGTCTACCCATGGCAAGGGACCACATCTCCTACATCTTTCTCGGACCATGTAGCTACTGTCTGTCAGCCCAAGCCGCATAGATTAGAGGCAGCACTCTGCGGACCAAGGTGAAGTGACATAATGAAAGTCTGTGAAAGGTATGAAGGGTATGCAGACAACTATGCACTCGCAGAGACGTTGTCCCAGTTCCCAGCGCAGAGGGTCAGACATGGCACGTCGACCATGGGACAGGGGGCAAGGGACATGGATCAGCCATGCTTGTGCGTGTACTGGCAGTCTAGACTGCCTGATCGATGGGACAGCTGCAGAAGGGCAGGACGGGACCGAGGTGGCACGGCAGTATAGCTTGCTCCCCCAAAGTACATGGTATACAGTCGTGGTGGGTAGCCTGTCGTGTTGGCATTTTTACATGGTCGAGTCTTCCGGCGGTGCTCGTTGAGCAAAAGTCGCAGGCAGTTCGTAGATGATGACGCTGTGATTACTCTGGCTGGTAGAGATCGATGGTAGGTGACCAGCCGGCGGTCTCGTCGGCTACTGTGGTGTGCAAAACGGCGGATTGGTCTGGTCGCGCCTAGTCATTTGCTTGTGGCCCGAACGTCAACTTGGAGCTCGACTCACGAGCATGGGTCAACATGTATGCCAAGCGAACAT